ATTCTGTGGGTTCTGACCATCGGGGCGAAGTCAGACCATCTGGGTAAATGAAGCACTCAAGTGATTTGGTTGCATAGGAGACCAATATTTCGAATTGCTGGTCTCGAGTAGCCCGGGAGTGCCTTGTGGAGATACCGACATGACTCCTCAGTTGAGAGACAGTGATTGCCCATGGGAATATGGCGCTTATGTTCATAGGGCTGTTTTCCTTCATGGGCCAGGCCCCACCACAGGCTGAATCCTGACTATGAGAGACTGAAGACCCAGTGTGTTCGGGCAATGTCGGACCTCCAGAGCCTCCAGAACCAGCATACCAACACCCTGAAGAGGTGCGAGGAGGTGGCCAAAGAGACTGACTTCTACCAGTGAGTGGGGTCTGCTTCGGAAGGGCTTGCAGTGTTTGTTCAGTAACCGCGTTCTGCCCTTCCTCAGCATCTACAGAAGGGCTGCTATCTCTCTTGCATCTCTGGACTTGCAGTCAGGGATTCTGGATCTAGTCTTACCTCGGTCACTTAGCAAGTCTTAAGCCTTCAGCAAATGGCCTTGTGCCTTTAGGCCTTAGTTTTCAAGTCTAAAATAAGACTATTAAGTCTTCACAGCATAACACCTGCTTCAGAAGCATGGTGGATGTGAAATTGATGTAAAATCTAGGCATTTCCAAAAGTGGATGCTATCACTCCCTGGGGGACACTAGAAGGATCCGGGGGCGCTTTAAAAGCAATACCTACACTTTATCTAGATTATAGACTATATACAAAAGCTTTTCATTGGCAGGGTGATGCTGAGTAATTTTTTTTTTTTTAAGGGGGTGGTGGTAGGGCAAATTAGTTTGGGAACCTGTCCTCTAGGCAGTGGGGCAGGCAGACTGCTGACTTCTCCCTCACTGTTCAGGGACTTTGCTGCAGCTCAGTCTCATGCCAAGCAGGTGGGACAGGCTCTCTGGGTCATGGCACCACTTGGAGAGTGTTAGCCTCAGAATTCAGAGGTGGCAGGTTTACCTGAGGTGGAGGCTTATCTCCTTTCCTGGGCCTCTTACAGGTGCCTTTGATTAGCGTCTGATTTTCACAAAGTGGTTTGGGTTCTGGAATTTGGCTGATGACAGGCTGTACCTTGCCTCTGAGTGCTGACGAACTGAGTGGGTTTCCTTTATTCTGGTACATGGGTTTGCTGACACCTGGAGGGGCTGGTGACACCGTTGGTGTGGGGTGGAGGCTGGCTGAGGCTCATCTGTCTGTGTTTGTGGGGGTTTCAGCACACTCCATAGCCGGCTCCTGAGCGACCAGACGCAGCTGAAGGATGATGTGGACATGCTAAAGCGGGAGAATGGGCAGCTGCTGCGGGAACGTAACTTGCTGCAGCAGTCGTGGGAGGACATGAAGCGGCTGCATGAGGAGGACCAGAAGGAGATCGGTGACCTCCGGGCCCAGCAGCAGCAGGTAGAGCTGGGCGAGGGGGCTGGTGGGGACCCAGGCTGGCCCTTCATCTACCCATCCTTATACTCACTTGCCGGCACATCAGTCCACTCGCCTACCTGTCAGTGTAGTTATCGGTCATCTCTCCATCCTCCACCTATCAGTTTGTTCAGACGATCACTTAGCATGTCTTCCTGGAGCGCCTGCCACCTGTGAGGCATTGGGATCTTGGTGAACAAATCTTCAGCCCTTGCTCTCCCAGAGTCTGCAACCCAATGGGGGAGACAAATGTTAGTTAGGTAATCACAATACCACTGTATACTTACGAATATTACAAGGGCTGTCAAGGATATGGTCCAAGCTACTAGAGTGTGTAACATGGGGATTTGACTTAGACTGGTAATTTGTACTTTATTTCCTTTGCCTGGACCAGGAAAGATTATAGAGGGAAATGCTCTCTTAATGCCATCAGTCAATT